GAACGCACTTTCGTACATACATTATTACGAAGATGTGTATAAGAGAGCTGCTTATGGCACTAAACTTGCGAAATGTAAATCGAAACTAATCAGCCAAGCATGACGTGGGCCTGTTCCATTAATGATGAGGGAATCAGTTTTCGCCGCGGTCCAATGCCGTGAACAACGCTTCCCAGTGCGTCTTCTTAATGGTCAGGGTACCACGATCACGAGCCCTATGCTTGGCTTTATAGGTTAGGCTTATGTGGGCTGGAGTTGCAACAAAGTCTTGGACTAGGCCTCTATACTATAGTAGGAGGCCTAGTCTAGGCCTATAATATAGTAAAATTCTGTATAAGTAGTCATATGATTACAGGTTTACATTGTACCAAGATCGATATTAACGATCGCATTTATTTTTCATTCAAAATAAAAAGAAAGCTTTAAATAATTTAACTTAAGGATTTAAAAATATTCCAAACCTGTACGCTTAAAAAAAATAAATAAAATAAAAAATAAATAAATGAAGTTAACTTATAACACAAACAACGCGATAGGATATAATATTTGAGAGAAGTTTTGGTATACTGTACTGTATTTCTGAAGTGCCGTTCGTTTTGGGGTTGCTACAATCAGGAGTTACAATCGATCCAACAAATATAAAGTAGGGCCTACTATCTATTTCCTTACATTCGAAAAAGGAGGATTTTGGATGCTATATTTAAATTTGCTGGAGATTGAAAATTAACTGTTAACTCCGTTGTTAGAGAACATAGAGTGGTACATGACTTTCGGACTGGTATAGTCCTTCAGTAGGTCCACAACGGAAAAGCACTATCTATTTCCTTACATTCCAAAAAGGAGGATTTTGGATGCTGTGTGCCTATATACAATGCAAAGCAGATTGATCACAAAATCAGAAGCATGATTTCAAACATCAGAACCCAGCTTTTATTGTTTAAAACTGTCGGGGCCCCATTGAATGAAACTACGGTATTATAGTTTATAGGCCTATTATATATTTTTTTTAAAGTTTTTTTTTTATATTTTCAATGAAAAATAAATGCGATCGTTAATATTGACCTTGGTACAATGTAAACCTGTAATCATATGACTACTTATACAGAATTTTACTATATTATAGGCCTAGACTAGGACCAGGCCTCCTACTATAGTAAAGAGGCTTAGTCCAAGACCTTGTTGCAAATCCCAGTAAAAGAGTATAGTAAAATTCTGTATAAGTAGTCATTATGATTACAGGTTAAAGGTTTACAGATAAAAGCTGGGTTCTGATGTTTGAGATCATGCTTCTGATTTTGTGATCAATCTGTTTTGCAGATTGATCACACAGTTAATTTTTCAATCTCCAGCAAATTTTAAATAGCATCAAAAATCCTCCTTTTTGGAATGTAAGGAAATAGATAGTGCTTTTCCTTTGTTTGATCGATTGTAACTCCTGATTGTAGCAACCCTAAAACGAATGGCACTTCAGAAATACAGTACAGTATACCAATTATTCCCTCAAACTTTATATCCTATCGTGTTGTTTGTGTTTTAAGTTAACTTTATTTATTTATTTATTTTTTTATTTTATTTTATTTTTTTTAAGCGTACAGGTTTGGAATATTTTAAAATCCTTAAGGGGTCATCCATTATTTTCATCATTTTCACGCGCGTACAAAACGTACGCTGGGGGGAGGGCCGGGGGTTGAAAGTGTGTGTACGCTTTTCAAAAAGTACAAAAATAACGATTTGGAAATGTTAGCCTACGTTTTTGTACCGAGCAATTCACTAGTAAATGTTAAGTTTATCAATTGTTTATACACAGCGTCATCTTGCATCCCTGATTAACGACGTGTTGGTTAAAGCATTGTGTACTTATAAACAATTTCGAAATACAAGGGAAATGCACTCTAGCCAGGGGCGGATCCAGGATATGAAAGAGGGTGGTTTAAAATGTCT